GGGGCAATAGCAGCTCCCCCCCCCCCCCCCTGCCTCTCGACTAGAGCACACAGTTCTGCTTTTGGGGAGACAGGGGGCAGCCCCTCCAGCCACGGACAGAAGCACAGCCAGAGGGGCGAGCTAGGGTGAAGTGATCTGTCCCCTTGTCTGCACTGTCCCTCTCACAGGAGCCCACGGAAAGTGGGGACAGTGTCCTTTTTATCTTCATATTCCCAGCATCTAGCAGCGAGGTGGTCCTCAGTTACTGGTAGCAGTTTGCTGGGGTTGATGCTAGGAAAGGAAGGTTGGGAGTGGACTCTGATGGGGCCCGGGTGGCACGAATGACATGTTTAGGGAGCAGTGCAGAGAAGAGACGAGGAGCTAAAGGCACCCTTCAGCCCCCCGAGGGTCTGCGTGCCTTCCTGCCTCAGCTGCAGCTTCTCCTGCATCACTGTGGGCAAAGGAGAGATGCATTTGCTAAGGCACGTTGGTGCCGGCAAACCACACGGGACCCTGTGGGTTGAAAGAGCTGACGCCCATGGACTGTGTGTGTGTCTGTGTGTGTCTGTGTGGTTATGCTCCCCGAGCCTCCTCGTCTCCAGCAGTCTGCGCTGGCCTTCTTCTGTTTCGTGTCATTGATCTCACGCAGGAGCAGGGTTCTTTGCCTTCTCTTGGCATGATTGAACTTGTTCCTACATTCTCTTCATTGCTTGTAAGCGCTTAGGTGGATCTAGAGGTTTGATTAGGTTTACGTTGAAGGTGGTTCGGGGTGTCGGTGTCACGTCACATCACGAGGTGCATAGTTTCTGGTTGTCCCATTTCTAGTGACACTAAGACCAAGCCCTGGGTTCAGAGCTGTCAGTGTGATCCCTCCATCAACCTTCACCTACCGGTTTTAAAACCCATTGATGATCCATTATTCTGTTGCCAGTGGTGGGGTTTTTCCTAATTTTATCATTTATTTTACATGTGCTGGCTGGACTTCTTCTATGAACTTTCCTTCATCAACTCCGTGGTTGCTCTGAAGTACAATTTGTACAGGCAGGGCAGGGTATTGCTTGGTTGTCCTTTTATTGATCCACCCTCAGGGTAATGACCTGGTACCCTAGCAACTCCCAATAGTGACCAATGAGTTTTGTTTTTTCTTTTATTTACTTTTGCTCAAGCATCGTTGTGAATGCATTGATTTTTATATATTTGATTTGCTTTCATCCATGAAAGCCTTTATTCATTTTAATCTCAAGTTGTCCCTCCTTAGGCTATTGGGAGTCACTTCAGATTAGCTCCTGGGTTCTTTTGACATGACCCCGTTCATCTTTGAAAGCTTCCTTGTTTGTTGCACAGTGAGAAATCCCAGGTTTATTTTGCATAGTTCCTGCTCCAGACCTGGAATCAGCCTTTTCTTCACAGGGCCCTGGCTCCTCCTCTTTAGTGTGAAATCATTTTTAGAGACCACCATCTGGCTGCCAGGGATGATGACTGCTACTTGTCTGTCATTGATTGTAGACATTTCCAGTAGATGTAGCTAAGAAATATGTTTTATTTTTTAAGAGTAAAATAAATCATTAATTCATTAATTCACTGATATTTCCAATTCAAGTTTAATAAGACAACATTTTTACTTCTTTGATTCTTTGTATTCTCTTTTCTCTTATACTGGAAATCTCGACTCCTTATGATATTAACAAAATTACTTTTCTTCATCCTGTAATATACTTACAGTGATTTCATTACCCCCTTTCCCACATGGATTAGGCATGGTAAACATTGTTCTGCACTCTACTTTTTAATCAGTGTTGCTGGTAATAAGACCACTGACTGCAATTTGATATCTTTGAGTTTTTTGTTGTTGAGAAGGTTTGCTATTCTAGATGTAGAGTCAAAATTCACTTGCACATACAGTTAAAGTTACTTGAAATCATTCTTTTCTCTGTGTGTTTATGCCAACAACCTGATATAAAATTAGTTTATGTTTGTTTTCTACTTTTAGAGATGGTTTTATTTTTCTTTATGTTTGATTTTGTCTTTTAGTTATGTAAAACATCTATATAGTTTCAAAGACAAAATTATAAATGCAGGTACCTTTGTACCTTGTCTCCTCATCTGGGTCTTTCCTTCCCCCTAAAGAAACTATTTTTTTTTTCCTTTTTGTCTTTTTTACTGACTGGTAACGGGATCGCAACCCTCGGTGTCACGCCCGTACCAGGGACCGGCAACGGGATCGCAACCCTCGGTGTTGGCATCTCAACCCTCGGTGTTGGGATCGCAACCCTCGGTGTTGCGCCCGCACCGCGCTCAGCCAGTGAGTGGGAACCGGTCTCCACATGGGATCTGAACCCTCGGCGGGAGCGCCGCCGCACTCCCAACCAGTGCACTCTCCAGTGCGGCACCGGGCCGGCCCACTAAAGAAACTATTTTTATTCGTTTGTTATTTATCTTTCTATTTTTATTTTTTAACTGTAAGCAAACACATACATGTGTTCATGTATATATATATTTATACCCCACTTATCTGCACAGAGCTAACATGCCATAAACAGTGCTCTGCACTCTGTGCTGCTTTCTCACTTAGTATGGTCTAGCGGTGCCTGTGTACAGAGTAAGGAGACTGTCCTCACCCATGTGGCCAGCTACAGAGCCCTCCACTATGTGAAATTCCGCGGTTTATTCAGTTAGACACCTACTGAGGGACATTTGAGTTGTTTCCCGGAGTCTTTTGCTTATATAAATATTGCTATCATACATGGCCGTGTGCATGCGGCATTTTGTGGTTTTGCCAGTGTATCTCTGGGGAGGCCTCTTCAAGCTGTCTCCACGCCTAGTTATACCCAGAGTGGAGGTATGTGGACAGTGGCTGTGGTTTTCAGAGGGTGTGGCCGTGAGCTGTCCACCGAAGGAGGGAGATCCAGGCATGTGTGTGATCTCTGTGTTAAGAGCTACCTTTGGAAGAGAGGGGCTGGTTCCTTCACTTGGCTTGATTCCCTCTTAGAAATGTGAGGACACACCCTTCTGGAGGCACAGGTTCCCACTTGCAAGCACTATTGCAGGCTCAAAGGAGGTTTAGTTAAAAGGAAACATCATTAGCCAACACAATTTGATCTGCAGTGTCCCTAAATGCCCCACAGTGGACAGGATGCCCAAGAAATATTGGCGCACACGAGATGCCCAGTGTGTGCAGAGGTGAGCTTTCCTTCCTTCATCATCGGGTCTCAGTCACCTCCTTCCACCTATTGTTCAAGAGCCACGGCTGCTAGGAAAATCTGACAGCTAATTCCCACATCCTCTTAGGATATTTTGTGCATGTCCTGTGGGTTCAGTTCCAAATCAGATCCTTGAGCTTGCAGCTGAGATGGGGATGACAGAAGGGTCCACTGCCTGTGCTACAGGACCTAGGCCCAGGGGTAGGCTTGCACAGGTGGTGCCAGGTAATAAAAAGAGGACGTGGCTTTGCAGATTTGCAGTTCTCGCTTTCAGCCAGCTGTGGATGTATGTTTTGGACCTTCTTGCGCCTGCTGTGCAAACACAGCCTCCAGCCCACCAAGAGGCTGTGTGTTTGGCCACAAGGCACAACCTCAGTCTCCCCGGGCATCCATGTATGACAGGCCTTACAGAACCCAGCTGGTGCCAGCCCTGCCTTTCTGCAGGCTTGCTATCTTGGACCTCACACCTCATCAACCTTCGTTTTTCCATTAATAAAAAGAATTCATACAAACTTCAGATGTCTTAGGAAAATTCCTATCTCTACAGTGCTCCTAGTAGCTGACTGGAATTTGACAGTGTGGGGATAGACTGAAGTCAGGAGCAACTTAAAACTGGGTGCAACAGAGGGCTTGTCATGTGATGTGCTGTTAACCCGCATCCCCCTTTTTCGTTCTGAGTCCCCCAGGGGTCAATGAGTGATGGAGGTGGGCAGAGTCTCACAGTGGCTCTTCTATCCTAGGGAGTCGAGGGGCATGCTGGGCAGCCGGGCCCTATCCCACGACAGTATTTTCATTCCTGAGTCTGGACAGGACCCTACTCGGCCTGTGCGGGTGTTTTCCCAAGAAAATGTGTGTGATCGCATTAAAGCTCTGCAGGTAAATAAATGTTCCCTTGGCGGTGTCACTTGGTATGTATGTCAAATATCAATTAAGGTGCTTTAAAATGATTTCTGCTTGGTTTATTTGATGTATTTTAAAGTAGAATTGCATGCACATCACAACTCTCCCAAGACATGCCAAGTTAGCTACAAGTGGATTTTTTTTTTTTAATCCATGTGTTCAAGGCATGAACCAGGAATGGGCACAGACCAAAAGCCAAGTTGGGATAAATGAAGGGTGCTTTGTCCCTGCTGATATGAGATGGGCAACAGGTGGATCTTGACCCATTCTAAGGCACAGCTTCAGGGACCAAGCGAGAGCTCTGGCAGTGCAAGAGCTGTGCAGACGCCCTTCAGTTCAGTCCCCTGCACCACACGAGGGTGTGGAGGGCACTTCCCAAATGAGTGAATCGGAGCAGGAGGCTTTGTTGGTAAATGTTGTTGATGGAAATAAGAGCAAATGTTTTTTATTCTAATCTAGTTAAAAATACAGTGTAATGTCAAAATGGGGCCACCACCTCCTCCAGGGGGGCTTCCTGCCAAGCGGGGAGACGATGCTGGCATGAGCTCTGAGGACGACGGACTACCCAGGAGCCCCCCAGAGATGTCTCTGCTGCAGGATGTGGGTCCTGGCACAACTATAAAGGCAAGTGCAGGCTCCAGCCATGCCCGCCATGGGGGGTAACGGAGCTCTGGAGTCCCCCCTGTGTATTCCCCTGAGATCTCCACAAAGAGAGGGACGAGGCTGTGTGCAGGGGGGCAGAGCAGGTCACTGGAGCCTCCAGTCAGCCCTTGGGCTGTATTTATTTTTATTCTTTGAGCAGAAATTCAGGTCTGGTTAGGAGATGTGGTTTGGGAGACATTTTTTGTGATGATGATAGATCTGATACAATCAACCTCGTCTTTCCTGTCTGAGCAGATGACCCGACCAGAAGCCCATTTAAAAGAAGGGAAACACCTTTGTGTCTGTTTTCTGTTGTCATGACATTTGGTGGAGGGAGAGGAAGGAGTAAACATGTAACAATCTAGGCACCCACGTCTGAGTCTTATGCCCATGACAGCGCGTTGGTTTAGGGGTAATGTGAGGTGTGTTACTGGCACACAGGGCAGCGGGCAACGTTTGACAAGCAGGAGAGGGGTTTATGACTCAGTAGGGTGGAAGAGCTGATCCCAAATGCCACCCACCCCAAGAGACTCTGAGAGGAGAGCCCGAGGGACTGAGCTCCTTCTCATGCATAAACAACATGCTCATGATGCTGCCCCTTTTTAAAATTTCTATTTTATTGTGGTAAGAACACTGAACACCCATGCAATGTACTCGTACATAAATAATAACACAGATGATCATCTTTCCCATGTAGACAAGGTTTGCCGTGGAGCGGACAGGACTGGAATTATCTGAGTTACGCTGATACTTGAAAAACAAAGGCCAGAGTTTATTTTTTACTGCCACACACCTGCTCTGCATGTCCTGTCTCCTCTGGTCAAGAGGCTATTCACAGTGAGGTTGTGGGGTAAATTGTGAATCCCTGCCTTGCAGATTCAGTGCTGCTCTGAATTACATTCTGTAGCTGCTTCACCTTGGACGTCTAGAAGCGCCCCCATGCCTAACGTCTGTGGGTAGCTGTGGATTCTCAGTGTCAGTGATGAAGAGGCGGAGGAAGGACTAAGGTGTGGCTGAGTTAGTAAGCCCACTCTGGGCAATTGTTCTCTCCAGAATTCTGCTCCAGGGCAAGCCTCTCCCTGCTTGCTCCAAGAGTAGGATCTGGGGACACCAGCTCTGTGGCCTTGAGAACAAGGAGGATGACATGGCCTATTTCCTGGACTCCTCCAAGCCAACCCTATACCCCTTAACACCTTAAAATGCCCCTGCACAGTTTCAGCGTCCCCATCTCAGGAGCAGATGTGACTTGGTATGTCTCAGGCCATGTGGTGGGGCAGTGTCTGTCGTGATCTGCCCTGACGCTACTCATCGCAGACTGACTGCCCATGCCACGGATCTCTGACTCTCACGGCATCCTAGTTCTCTGCTGTTAGCTGGGACAGGCAGTAAAGAGGAAGAACAGGCTGTTTCTAACGCATTCCTTGAAGAGCAAGTCCAGCTCCAGCTGCATGCACGGTGGTGCACGGACGCCCCAGTTAGCTGGGTGGGAGCCGCTCGCACTGGGCCAGGGCTGACCTCGTTTTTCTCAACTTCCTTCCTCTCGTGGTTACTTTTTTTTAAAAAAAAGTTCTGAGATTTTATCAATTGTCAGGTACCATGAGCAATCTACTAGCTTCCTAGGAAACCAGAATTTGGATTTTTAAGACTTAGGAAAAATAGGTGATCTTTATCATCCAAGTTTTGAAGACACAATGCTCACATTTTGTGCCCTGAAAGTTTTTTGTGCGCTGTTGTCCAATTGAGAATGAAATACAACACAGCCTTTAAAATGTGCTTATAGGGCCAGCCCGGTGGCGCACTGGAGAGTGTGCCGCTTGGGAGTGCGGCGGCGCTCCTGCCGAGGGTTCGGATCCCATGTGGAGACCAGTTCCCGCTCACTGGCTGAGCACAGTGCGGGCGCAACACCGAGGGTTGCGATCCCGTTACCGGTCAGTAAAAAAGACAAAAAAAAGGAAAAAAAAAAAATGTGCTTATATATCACATGGGTACTTGATGTAAAGGTGCCTTAAATCCCAAAAGGATGGGATTGTGGGCTGTTTAATTTTTTCCTTCTTTAACACTTTACACAGGCCACATGCCAGACAGAGAAACTTACAAAGATGACTATAGGGAAAAAGTCTGTCGCAAGTATTTGATGATACTGTCAAGGGGCTATTTCCTAACAGAATAAACTTTTCAGCAGATACATGGAATTGTTTTTTTTAAATTTCATTATCACATGAGGTAGCGATGACACTTTACTTGGAGATTATTAAGGTAAAATTACATCTCACTGATCATATTCTGGGTTTCCTGCTTCAGCAGGGAGTGCCAACCAGGGGGATAAACTGGCAGGTCTTTTAAGTCTGTTTTGTTCTGGGCAGTGAGGGAAAGGAAGGTAGTGGAGAGGACACAGGTCTGGTGACAAATGGATGAAGCATGCCATCTCCACAGAGTAAGGCCTGGGGCAGGTTTGTCACCTCTTGGAATCTGTGTCGTCAGAAGGTTTGGGGAGGGTAAAATGAGACCGGGTAGACGGTTGCCTCCCCGCCCAGCAGGACCAGTGGGCTTCTCTTCACTGACCAGAACACACCGGCCACTCCTGCTGCCTCTCTGGTGGCCGTTCCCACATCCGCTGCCCTTGGTCCCCAGTGTTTATCTCTTTGAAGATGAACATTGTAAAGCAGCTGTCACCCAGGGTCACCCCAGAAAAAGCTTCTGAGCCCCAAGCCATTTCCTCAGGGCCCCGTGAGCCACATTCCCTGTCACAAAGGGCCACATGTTAGATCTTTCAGTCCTCTGTTTCCAGAATCATCCAGAAGAACAGATTTCAGGAAAAATTGGGTAACGAGAAGCAAACAATGCCAATGTGAATTCTCCGGATGCTGCCAGCCCACCCATGAAAATGCCAGCTTCCCTGCCCTTCCCCCCACCCCGGAGACCCCACCCCAGCCCCGCCCCACATAGTCACATCACTGATCAAAGATAGGCTCATGAGTCTCCTTGGTTGTGAAGGTGTTCATCTTTGCAGACCCCAAGAACTCTCAGAATGACACTGGAGAATGGGAAGTGAGTTCTAAGGTCAGAGGAATTGAGTTCCCTAAGGGGGAGACCAGCTGTGACAGCTAGTATGGAGTTGCACGTGGACAGGAGACAGGGAAGTTAAGTTCTGTGCCGAGGTCCCCAGCATGGGGCCAGAGTGGGCCAGAGCCTAAGACCTTCTGCCTAGGCAGAGCAAACACAAGGCAACCCAAGCAGAAGAGTGGCAGGGACTTCTTGCCCTTTGCAGACTTCAGGGTATTGTTTTATAGTAGGGTGACTGAAGGCCCATGCTGTCACATTCTCATTTCCAGAGTCACCGTATTTGCAAAGCAACACATCTGTTCTCATGAGTGCCAGGCAGTGAGAAAAAAAAAAATTTTCCTGTAGGCAAGGGTCAAAGTTAAGGATTCCGTATGATTTTGAAATATACACATGCTGTTTGTGACCCTTAAGGAAGATTATCTGGGAAAGGTATCACTTGCCCAGTGTAAGGTGACTTCCTGAGTCATCAGCTATAGTTATGGCGAAGAATCCTGTGGTTTATTTTTAAAGTAATTTTTCTTGCTTTATTCCCATAAGTACCTGAATAGCTAAAAGAAAAGAGCTAATAAAATAGGTTATGTCCACTTCTATCCCTTTCTCCTTTATTTTAGTAATTATCTCCTCCCAATTTACAAAATAAACTTTATGGAATAAACTTTATACTTTCATGAGAAAATACCGTGGAACTTTGAACAGGGAAAATAAGTTCTTCTCTGAGGTTGTTCCTCTGTGGGAACAGTCCCCGTGTCGGAGCCTGTCTCTCTACTAGTGTCAACCTCCTGGCTCCCCATCCAGTTTAGCGAGGCTGCTGGGCACCTGCTCTGTGTGGGGCTCCAAGGTCATGGAAAAGAGATAGCAAGACATGCCCACGGCCCTGGGAGCTCAGCATCAGGCAGATCTGGCATCTTGCTCGCTGCTTCTTTCCTGTCTCATCAGGGCTTGCTAAATCATTGTGTAAGGAATAAAATTAAGTTCTTAAGTTAAAATGTAAACTTGACACTAACACTGAGCACCATGCTCACATAGAAAGGTTTATTTGTTTGTTCAAAGATGGCAGGGTTGTACTAAAAGCCCAGCACCCACCAGATTCTCCCTCTGCACGCACCTCTGGGCTGCAAGTGTGCACGGATGCTCAGAGCTTTCTGCTGATGCACGTCTTTGCAGGAGAACCCACCCACATCTCACTCAGTGGAGGAGCTCGCCAAGTTTGGTGGGCAGGTTTGTTAGGGTGTGGCCCATTTGTCCGTGTGGCTGCCAGAATCCCCTTCCTCCCTGGCCATGCACACTTTTGTTTTTGCTGAATGTCAGTTCCTCCCTGCTGAGGTATAAGCTGGTAACATATCTGTAACTTAACAGATGGTAACTTAAAGCCAGATTTCTGCAAGAGAGAAATCTGCATGAGGATAGAGACCTTCTAGAATGAGCAAATGAAGTTCCTGTGGAGGAATGTGGGGTGGTGGGCTGGGCACCTCCTGTGTGCCCAGCCCCTAAAATCTCACCTCTGGGCTACCCTCTAGGCTTCCAGAGATAGGACTAGCTGAAGCTGCCCTTGGAGAAATGCAGCTGGTCTGTTTCATCGGAGAAAGTAGCTCTTTTCTGAGAGCCTGTGCCAGCTGCTACAGGAGGGTGAGGGCAGAGGGGGCCTGGGATACAGTTTCTCTGCATGGCTTTGGAAAGGAGTGGCAGGTTTCCAGGGGTTGGCCCAGCACTTTAAACTCCCAGCCATCTACCTTCTAAAGGAGTATCCTAGAACACTCCCTGTCAAGGGTCAAATTGAAAGTATCTCTGCACATGTAAAGCCCAGAGACAGCGTGGGAAGACTGAGGAGGATAAAAGGAGAGTTTATGTGTTGGCTGTACCTGTTTCACGTTGGAAATTTAATGCTTGGTGTGTTTGCTCTTGCCTCGTGAAGGTCTCTTTAGTGTCCTCATCCCGGCCAGTGTCTCCAGACCACGTGAGCGACACCACGGTCTCCCCCCGGACCTCTGACAGCAGCCTGGTGCCCGTGGCTGATTTTAGTTACCCTCCGGAATTCTCCTCCTGCCTGGACAACTCTGCAGCCAAGCACAAGCTCCTGGTTAAGCCCCGCAACCAGCGGTCGAGTAAAATGAGGCGGCTGTCTTCGGTAACTGGGCTTCCTCCTCTGTGCAGAGGCAGGGCAGGCAGCCTTGGCACCCCCCTCTCCCTTCCCCCACCTCTGTCCCCCCACAGGGTCTTGTGCCCCCTCTGAGAACCACCACAGTTGATGGGACTCGGCTGCAGGAGCTGGAGTTGCTTGTCATTTTCAACAGAAGTGAATCATTTCTTCCTTGCGTAAACACTCCATCATTCATTCATTCATTCATTCATCCATTCATTCATTCCATACACAGTTATCAAGAACCTTCTGTGCACTGTGTGCCGATTG